GTGAAGTCAGCCTTTGCACCGCTGCTGCTGGACGACAGGTGAAGAGGTCGACGAACGAGGCTGCCGGTTACTCCACCTTCGGACAAGATTCTCTCCCGAACTGGACTCTGATACAAATAAGCTTGTTTCGCGAACGAAGACGGTACTGAAGACCCTGCGACGACTTTAGAATTGCCATGGCTCCTTAGATGAGTAGAACCCGACACGTGGTCAGCAGCGTGATTCGTAACTTCTAAATTTTGACTGGTGGCCCTGAACGCCGAAAATACCCTTCTCCACAATCTCTCCATCTGACGGCATGATTCGTAAAAAATGCGTACAGCATATTCGTACGACTCATAATTCACTATCGTAAAAGCATACGTCAAAAGCGTAAGAATCCATAGCAGATATGGCATGTGATGAAGCCAGGCGACCGGGAGGCTGATGATCAACAAAACCAGGCTCATCTTCCTCAAAACCGCGAAACGCCCCGTCTGAGACCTATATTAAAATAATTTATAAATGCCGATAGTCAGCGAGCATAACCTTACCATAAAGACAATAAAAGCAATGTAATCTGATATTTCCGGATTAGATGGATCTTAGAACATGTAATATATTACAAAACAATAATTACGTAGATGGAGTGTCACATGCCAAATGTTTATGCTTTTTACAAAGGAACCAATTACTCTACACTTAAGAGTACGAATTTGCAAATTTATTCTTCAGGTTCGGCTTTAAAGTCCTTCATATCGTTCTTCCTTAGGTAGTTATCTTCTGGCAAACAACAAGTATTGAAAACCGTAGCGATTACCAGCTTGTTCTTTGTAACGGATTGGATGATCAATGGTTCATGGCACCAAACAAAGCTTATGTTAAAACATTTATAGCTTACGCGTTTCGCTATCACAATGGCAGCATAATCAGGATCCAGGCTGCTGATATCGAGGTGGTAACAAAACGTGTGGAGTTGGCAGATACACAATAAAAACATTAACATATACTTTGTACAGTTTACAATGGATCGTCAAATTCACAGTTACAGTTGAAACAACTGGCCAAGAAACGAAAACTTAAAATGCCAATGGTCTTCTCATTTGACTCGTGTCTCGGCGAAGTTACATATCCAGGTATCATCCGCGTATCCGTTACTGAAATGATTTAATAATTATTATGAAATGTTACAAGGATCAGGACTAGAGCATTTAACCCGATTGGTTGTTCTACATCCAGAGGGTAAATGGCATGATGAAAAGACTTCAGATTACCCTCTTGTGGTCCTTTGCAGTGAGAGGTCTGCATAG